TGTAATTATCCTGCCGTGGGTTGGGAAACTCCTCTGGGGCATCTGTAGGACGCATCCACTAAAAGGATGTTGGTAGAAAGCAATTTGTGGACATGAAAAGTGGTCAAAGATACACTGTTTACTCACTTATTTCCTCATTATGGGCATATAATGCATGCTCATGAAAATTCAGGCAACAAATAAAGGGAAAGTCTCCTACATCTCACGTTTCTCATCCAAATCTCATGCTAAGTGAAAAAGGCATGACTGCTATGAACTCACTTTTTACAAATAAAATACATTAATATATACTCATAAGGGAAAGCCTATAGGATTTACCATAAAATGTTAAGGTTTTTTTGGCAGGAGAGTAAAAATTGCTGTCATTTTTCAGAGTCCTCTTTGGCTTATCTGTGGTTTCTTCATTCTCCTGGTGGCCAGCGATGTGTTACCATTTGCAATCTGAAAGAGCCTTTGTAACAATTAATGAACCCTTCCCACACTCCTGCCTGTCACCATCTGGCTATTTCATTCCCAGGGCCTCCAGAGAAGACTCGGGTGTCCTGTGTTGTCTTAGGCAGCCAAGGGATTGTGTCAGGGACCTCAGAGCAAGCCTTGGTTCTCAGTAAACATTCACGGGTTGAAGAGATGGGAGCCTTGTCGTTGAGGTTTGGCGCTATCCTGAGGAGAGTCTTAGGTTGGCAAGAAGAATGCACTAAGCTAAGCACACATTTAGAACTCAGGGTATGCTGGGCATCAACCAGGAGATAAGTTTTTTTTAAAACAAAACAAAAAAAAAAAAAACAACAAAACCAAAACCAACTCACATTGGCTCAAGAAATAAGGGGAATTTATTGGTCCATGTAACTGAAAGCCTAAGGCCCTAGAGCTTCAGGCATGGCTGGATCAAGGTGCTCAAATGGTACCTTCCAGGTTCTTCAAGGCACTGTTTTCCTCTGCGCTGGCTCTGCTCTGAGGCAGGCTCTCTATGTGTGGTGGCAAGGTGACCCAGGCTCCAGGCTCATGCTCCAGCTGCTCAGCAATCCCATCAGACACAAGGCTTCTCTCTCCCAGGGGCTCTAGGAAGAGTCACAGGGAGGCCCGGATTGGCCAGACTTGGGTTTCCTGCCCACCCCTCACCATGCACCGGGGTGCTGATTGGCTGGTGCTGGTTCACAAGATCATCTGTTCACCAACAGGATGGGGTCAGCTCTACCAGAACCCATGGGCTGAGAGGGCGGGAGGGTTGTTCTCACAGGACAGTGGGGGGCTATTTGCAAAGGGCAGAGCTCAGCTTCACCAGCCCAGTTGAAGGTTGTGCTCCATGAAGCGCAGAAAGGCTCTTTATCAGAAAGTTGGATTAATCAGAACACCCTGCCCTCGGTTCTTCTGAAGAGCAGAAGAGGGAGGCCCATGTGGGGGCGAGGAGTGGGGGCAAAAGGGGGGCTGGGCAGGAGAGTCCTGCCTGGGATGGGAAGACACAGTTCAGAGTCAGTGTCCAGGCCTCAGTGTCCCCACCTATAAAGGAAGGTTGACCTGACAGGTTTTAGGATGGTGTTGTGTATTCTTTTGATGAAAATTTTGGGGTACAGCTGGCCCTCCCTTTCCATTGACTTGGAATGATCTCTTAATGGAATCCAGTTTATTGCTGTCCTCCATGCTGGCAGGGCAATGATATCTTTTTTCCAGGAGGGGCCTGTTAGCTTGGCTATAAGTAGAGTTTGGAGGCTATTTCTGGCAAAGACTGAGGTGGGTGAAAATGTGGGGGTGGGAGGTGTCAGGGGCACTTAGGGAGGAAACCTGAGCAGGGCCTCCTGCCCAGGGTCTGGGATGAAGGGCTGGTGCTGGGGTGAGGAGGGGCTGAGGGTGGGCAGGATGAGGCCTCAGCAGCTGGGAGAGGAGCTGGTGGGACAGGAATGTTCCTCCTCCCAGCACCTGTCCCCAGACTTGTGACCATTGACCCCATCCCACAAAAGTCCTGGGGAGGAAAGCAAGGAGGGAAGCCTCCTCAGCGCCCACCAGGTACCTGCACCTACAATAGAGATATTAGTGACAAACCATTGAGAGCCATGGACCAGGTGCCGGTCCAAGTGTTTACAAGGATCAGCTCAGTCAAGCCTCACAACTGTATGAAATATGCATGGCTACTAGCTTCAGTCTACAGATGCGGAATCTGGGAGAATCTCAGAGAGGTCAAGTGCCTTGCCCAAGGACACACAGCCTGTGAGCCCATGATGGAGCTAGCGTCAGCATCTGGGTGCCTGTGAGGATGGCACGCTGGGCTCAAAGGCCAGGACACAAGTGCTGGGTGAGCCCGAGGGGGAAGGAAACTCAACCACCATGAAAAGGGAGGGTGAGAATCTGGAAAGACAAGCTTAATCTGGGCTTTGAAGGATCTATGCAATTTGGACAGGATGAAATGTGCAGAGAAGAGCTTTCCAGTGGGAAGGCACAGAGACAAGCAAAGTATGGGGAACATTTGGGACAGCGCAAGAAGCCTGGCCGGGACCTCTGCCAGAGTTTTGTGGGTCATGAGGTCACTTGAGCAGTGGGTTGAGGGTGGTACTGCTGTGTCCTTTGAGTGCCTTGAGGCCTGGGATCCCCAGAATTTTCTGGGCTAGCCGGGAGGTGGCTGAGCCCAACCTATCATGTGGTTTCACGGATTGCGGGGCAAAACCCGGCAGCCTCGGGTCCCAGAAGCAGGACTGGAAGACATGGAGGGTGACGAAGCCCTGCTCCTCTTGGACCTACATGGAGGAGTCCATGGAGTCTGGGCGGCTGTGGACGAACAGGAAGCCAGCCGTTCCTCCCCGCGAGCCGGAGGAGAATGGCCTCTGTGTGAGCCACAACAAAAAGGCTTTTCTGCCAAGTCAGAGGGGGAGGAAGCGGCCAGCTTGGCCCCTGCCCCAGCCTGAAAGGAGGCTCTGTTGGTGGCCCTGGGGTCTTCCATGCCTAGAATGTGTGGGGAGGGAAGGCCAGGGTGGACAGGGGCCTCCTCATTTCTGTCTCAGTTCTCCGGCAGCACCAGGGTGGGGTGGAGCGGAGTTTCTGTGCAAGTCAGTCCGTCCAGGATCTAATGCCGGCACGGCCATTCCCTAGCTGTGTGACCTTGGCAAAGTCACTTCACCTCTCTGAGCCCCAGTTTTCTCACGAGTAAAATCTAAGTGGGCGGGTCATGCAAGTCGACTGGGGTTATACTTGTACACTGACCATTTGCCAAGTGCCAGGCACTGTCACCAGTACTTTACAGCCACCCATCCTCTACTCATCTTCCCAGCAGCCTGTGAGGTAGGTCCTGTTATCCACTCCATTGAGGTTTAAGTTCTGGCAGCATCAGGGCTGAAGCCCAGGATGTTTTAGACTCTAAAACTCCAAACTGTGCAAATGCAGAGGAAAAAAATGCTGGAAGGAAACACACTAAACTGTCAACAGTGGCTAGGGGATTCAGGTGACTTATATTCTTCTTCCTTTTGTTTATCTCTAATATCTTAATTGTCTTATTTGGGAATTAGCAAAATATAAAGGAACAAACAATGCTGAGGGAATGAAGGCTGTGAGAGTCCCAAGGTGAGTTGAGGTTACAGCCACATTAAACAAAAAAACAATTTAAAGACGCAGGCAGCTGTTTAATCCTGGGGAGGACGGGGTGTCAAGATGGGGCTACAGGGCTCTCTGGGGATGGGGGGCAGGGCTGAGGTATTCCACCCATCCCTCCCCAGGTTGCTCTTTCTCACATCTGGCCCCGGAAGGAGAAATGGGCTCCTGAGATGAGCTGTTCTTTCAGCTACTGGGTTTCTTTGAGATTTTACCAGAGAGCTTGGGGGTGGAAGGCTCCTCAGGCAGTTTCCTGAGGAGCTGACACTTTGCCAAGTCTCTCCTCCAGCCTGGGCTCTGATGAAGGGCTCAATGAGAAAGGCCTTTCATCCTTTCTCGTCCCTGTGCCCCCACACTGCCCTCCACCTGCTCGGTGACTTCTGGGCTTCAGGCAGACCTGGGTGGGGCCTCGTGGCTTCCGCTGTAGGCAAGTTGACAAGATGAGGTCTGCCCTGGACCCCCATGCCACCCACCGAGGCCCCTGTGTGTGGGGGTTGCTCACAGGCCATTTCCTAGCTGAGCCCAAGAGTCCTTTGGGGCTTCCCAGGGCCAGCATTTCCTACTCTCCTCAGCCAGTTTTCAATACAAAGAGAGGAAAGGGTGGGATCAAGGGGGCTGAAGGAGGGGTATGCAGCTGTGGGGAGGGTGGGGCCTGGAGCAGGTTGAAGGACCCTGCCTGAGGAGTTGTGGGGGCCTGGGCTGCTCCACGGTTGGGGTGGGAGCCCATTACAGCTGATCATTGCATTCCTGGGGTTGCCGGCCGGTACTCTAGGTTTGGCCCAGAGGATGGACGTTGGGCTCAAGGCTCACCCAGACCTGGGGGAAGGCAGTACTTGTCTCCTGCTCTCCTGGGCATCATCTGCACCCTACCCAGGGTGAGATTCTCTGCTGCTTCCAAGATGAGAGGGCAGATCTTGGGTGCCCCCTTACCCTCTGAGCAGAGCATGTGGCGAGGGGAACTTTTGGGACCCACAGTAGCAGCGTTTCTCATCTTCTTCCTGTCCAAGCTGGGTCTTCAGGACCAGAACCCAGTCTGGACGGGTGGAGGGAGGGCTGGGTGGCCTGGCTTGGTTTTCTCAGTCCTCCTCGATGTGCAGGAAATGCGGGAAGCTGAGTTGCCCTTTCTCACCATGAATGAATGGCAAGCATCTTCCCTATTCCTTCCCTGTCCCACCCCAGTGGGGCCACCCCAGGCCCCCTGCCCGGCCCTTCTCAGGTCCATTGAGGGCAGCCACCTCTCACTCTTACCCCAGCTCCTCCCCTTCCAGGGCCACTAGGAAGGAGCCCCCGCAGAGCTGGGAGTGAGGTCTCTTTGGTGTGGGGGGCAAGTCCCCTAATCCCAGCATGGACTCCACCCCATGACCTACAGCCCCTCCAACTGTAAGCTCTGGCCCAAGGCCTCTTACAAAGGAGGCCACGCTCGCCGGCCGTACAATTTAATCAGTGCAGATTATTTACAGAAAGAAACATATGGGGGTAGACGTGGACGCCCCTCCACCCTTGGCTGCCACTCCTGTTCTGAGGATGAGGGGGTAGGAAGCGGCTGGACCTGCATTCGGGGCCAGCCCATGAGAAGCCCCCCTCCGAGGGCCTCCTGATCTGGGTGGCAGACCCACTTGCTCAGGACTGCGGGAAGCAGAGGGGACACAGCCGGCGGCACAGTACCATTTCCCACAGCAGTCTCGCCTCTGCTTGCTTTGGGAAGGAAAAGAGGAGAAAACGTCTCTGCCCTCAGGGCTGAGCCCGAGGAGGGAAGTCTCCAGGCCACAGTGGGCTCGTTGGGGGAGTCCACAGCCCTCCCAGTCTGCATGGGGGACAAGCTGCTGGCCTCTCCCGCCAGTGCCCCAGGGGACAGGGAGCTGGAGGGGAGGAGCCCCCAAGCCTGGCACGTGGTGGGCTGTGGACCCCACACAGCTGGGCACACTGTGGACATCTACCACCCCAGCCCGGGCACCTATCGGGCCCTGACTCCCAGGGAGAGCCAGAACACCGGCAGCTGGAGCCTGAGGCTGACGGGGTTTGAGACCCCTGAGGATGGTGGTGTGGGTGAGAGAGGGTGCGAGGAGGCCCAGGGAAGGGGCCCCGGTGGGTCACAGCTCAGCGAGGAGAAAGTACACAGGGAGGGGGCTGGAGGCCCAGCCCGGGCGGCGAGGCTCCTGGGGCACAGGGGCCTTGGCACACCCCTTTTGGTCCTTGGTAAGGGGCCCAGAATCCCTTCTCCAGAGAGAAAAGGAGGTGTGGGCTCAAGGGGGATGTGGGAGCTGGGAGCTGCTGGCCCCTTGGCTGGCCAGGGGTGGGCTGGGGTTCTTAGGCACAAGAAACCCGGGCTACTGGGGTTGTCAGAGGTGGGCTGGGAGGAACCAAAACTCAACATAAACTCACAGCCAGTGGTCACCTTTCCCTCTGTCCCTTCCCACCCGAAGAGGCCCTGGGTGAAAGCTCTTCCTAAGGCAGAGAGAGTGAGACTCAGGTGGGTGGAGACCAGTTAGGCCCCACCCGTCTCCAAAGCCAACCAGTCTCCGGCCAGGCTCAGGCTGCGGAGGGCCCAGGCTGCGGAGGGCCCAGGGTGGGACGACCTGACAGCTTGTCAGCCACTCTTTCACCTGGGCCTTCTGACCCTCTACTACACTGGCTGTTGCCAAGCTAGAGGTGGGTGGGGGCCTAATTCCCTGTCTGGAGCAACACTCCATTTAGAAAGGTCTAACCCCCTGCCCTGAGGGACTGCCCCTGGTCAGGAAAGTAGAAACAAATGCTCAGTTAGTGTGCAAAAAAAAAAAAAAAAAAAGATACCTGGGTATAAATAAACAATGGGGGCAGGGCTGGCAGGGATGTTGGAGGGCCTGGGCCCCCCCTTCCCACCCAGGGGTTGAGGGAGCCACCAAAGGCCTTTGCTGGGTGCCCCAGGAGCCATCGTCTCAGAGCCACCGGCACCGCCAGCCTGGCCCCTTAGCACCGTGAGGAGCAAGAGGGGCCCGTGGGGGTCAGACCCACTCCTGCAGAGAGCGCTTGCAGTAGAGGAGCATGCGCGGCGCGCCCTTGCGCTGCATCTGCACCAGGGCGTAGGTGAGGCCTAGGATGAACAGGAGCAGCAGCAGCGGAGGCACCAGCACCATCACCATATTCACTGTCCGTGTCACCTCCTCCATCTGCACCACCACGCGGCTGCCCCCATCCACGTCCGGCCCCTTCCCAGAGTCCCCGTCCCCAGCACCAGGGCCAGCCTCATGGCCCTCATCGTCCTCCTGGCTGTCACCGCCTGCCCCAGGCTCTGCACCACCGTCAGGATTGAAGGGCGGACGGGCCACATCGGGCCACCGGGGTCCCAGCTCCACATGCTCTTGGCAGCCCATGAAGTCCCGCAAGATGGACTTGGGGTAGCCGGGCTCCATACGCATGCGCTCGTTGTCGAACTTCCAGTATTTGGTGCCTTTGTAGAAGTAGGTGTAGGCTGCAGGGGCAAGCAGACCAGAGTGGTGTCAGGCCAGGCCCACGGGCCGGCCAGAGACCCTCGCAGAAGAGCAGGACATGCTGAAGAGGCCCTGGCTTTAGAACACCCTCCTCACTTGCTCCCCTGAGCAATTTCAGATCTGCCCCTTCCCAACTTACAGGAGCCAGACCAAGCTCAGAGCGGGACAGGGTTTGTGTCGAGCACACCACTAGAATCTCATGTTTCCCAGCCGGGCTAACATGGACCAGGGCAGCATATGGCGGAAGGGTCCTACAGCTTGCTGGGTTGGGGGCTGCAGTCAGGGGACCCTGCTGTCCTGTTCCAGGACTGGCTTCACCCCACACGAGACAGGCCAGTGTCTTGCTCAAGGCCACGCACAGCCAGCCTGCAATGGGCCTGGAGTGCAGCCTGGCTCTGCCTTGGCTCAGCTCTCTGGCTTTGGGAGCTCAGCCCCAGGAAGGGCCAGGTTGGAATCATGGGGGCGTCTAGGCTCTGCTGAGGGAGATCAGAGCAGCTGCAGGTGATGCCATCACACACAGAAGCCATGTGACCCGCCCAAGCATTGGCAAAGCCCCCAAGCCTGAAAACCTGGAATCTGAGAACCAGGACTATGGCTTTTCTTAAACTCACTGGAGATCCTGCTGGAGAAACAAAAGTCGCAGCTCCCTGTCACTCAGTTATAACGACAGAGATTAGGCGTCCCTTCCAGGAGGGTAAGTGGGTACCCTGGAAGGACTCTCACTCCATTGCTCTGAGCCAAGCTCAGGCTCAAGGCTCCCTGTGGGCCGCCCAGGGGCAACTGGACTCCGCGAGAAGCAGGGCAGTTCCAAGCGTCGGCTCTGGACACAGGCAGGCAGGCCTGGGTGGGCCTCCTGGCTCCACGGCTTCCTCACTGTAGGATTTGGGGCCCTTTACTTAAGCTACGTGTTTAGTGTGGTTGTGAAAAAGGGGATGGTGACAATGCAGGGAGGACGGGCAGAGTCATACTCCAGAAGCTCCTAGCAGCCCAGGGCCTGACACAGCTGTGTCCCCATATATGCCATCGTAATGCCTGTGGACCTCGGGCAAGTCCTGTCCCCTCTGTGTGGAGGAGGGGGATGGTGAGTGCTGGGCAGACTGGAGGGTGCTGGCCTTGGTACCTGCATCATTGCTCAAGAAGGCCCCTTTGGGGGAGACGGGGATCCCCTGCCAGATGCTGATGGGCTTGGGGTAGCCGGGATCTCCACGTTGCGTCTCCTCATTGAAGCGCCAGTACCTGTGACCAAAAGCACAAGGCTGTGGGCCTGCTCGGGCCTGGAGTCCATTCCCAACTAGCAGTGAGCTCTCTCTGAGTAGGTCTGGGGGTAGAGGGGTCTGGTTGGGGCCTTTTCCCTTTAGAGGACAGGGTGCTCACCTGTCCTCTTGGAAGAAGAAGGTGTGTCCTGTGGGCTCCCACCAGATGGCCGTGTCGATGCGGTCGTAGGGGATGCCCAGGCCATAGCTGACCAATGGCTGTGGGTAGCCAGGCTCTAGGTTCGCTTCTCGGAAGAGCCAGTAGCGGTCACCTGGGGGAGGAGTGGGAGGTGGGTGAGGACAGGCCTGGGGCTGAGGGGAGTGGGCAGTGGGGGGACACAAGGAATGCTATTCTGGGCTCACAAATCCATTCACATCCACTGCCACACTGCTGCCACCACACACACACACACAATTACACATATACAAACTCACACTCTTATATACAGGACAGGCCCTGACACCCACATGCCCACAACACACAATGCAACTCACCTTTGTGTCACACCTATTCTGCACTCACAGACACCTGTGACACGCTCCTTTACACAAACACATGTCAGTTGCTCACACTTGTACACACACCATGGTCACACTATACATGGGCCTGCATTTCCATGTGAACATCTGCCCCCCATACATGGTTCTTATAGAGAAAAAGGAAAATGGGGGAGCTCTGCCTGGCCTCTGGGTCTAGGGGCTGCATCCCTGGGGCATCCCAGTGCTCCCCGCTTTTGGTATGGGCCCAGCCCTCTCCTTGGGGGGCATCTGCCTTGTTGGGGTTCAGGCCATTGGGGTGCTGCCCTGATCCATGTAACACAGCCCTTTTGCCCTCCTCCTCCTCAAGCACAGCTGGGTCAGAGGTTGGGGCAGGAAGGCCCCCCAGCTCCCCGCACCTACCCCAGCTCACCTTTGAAAAAGACAAAACGCCCATCTTGGCGCTCGTAGGCAGCACTGATGTCACTGGGCAGACCACGCCAGAAGTGCCCAATGGGCATGGGATAGTTGTCCAGGACGCGGTTGTGCCGGACCCGCCAGAACCAGCGGCCCTGGGGAGGGTGTGGGTGTGAGTGGGCAGGGCATGCATGCTGCCTTGGCTTGCGAGAGGCCCCTCCCAGGACCACCCCTTCCTGGGTCAAGGAGTGGCCAGGTGAGGCCACTGAGATCCTGAGGGCAGCACCAGGGAGAGAGCCGTGGATGGAGTGGGTGGACCCCTGGGCTTGCTCTGTGACCCCAGGAAAATCCCTCAGGCTGGTGTCTTTTTGGACTAACATCTGATGGCTCCCCAGGGGCTGTCAGTGAAGGAGGGGCGGGGGTGCCGAGTAGCCAGGTGGGGCAAGGCTCTGGGGATGGGGTGGGGGGTGCTCTCCTGCTCTGAGCCTGGGTCAAGGGGCTGAGGGAGGCAGGGACGGGGGCCAGACCTTGAACACGAACATCTCTCCACGCAGCATGGCCACTGTGTCAAAGTCCCCGTCGCAGATGTTGGGGCCATACTGGTCAGGTCGCTCCGTGGCTCGGGGCTGGACAGGGGGGCCTGGCTTTGGGGGCCAATCTGGCTTCCCACCTGGGGGTGGGGGCTGGGGGGGTCTGGGGGGCCGATGGTCTGGCCGGCCCGGCCGCCGGGGTGTCACAGTGGGGAGGGGCCGGGTGGGCTGCGGCTGACCGTCTGGGGTGCCTGTGGAGCCGGGAGGGAACAGGAAGTGAGGGTGCAGCCCTAGAACCCACCCAGGACTCCAAGTTCTCCTACTCAGAATCCTAGGACCCCAGGGCTCCTAGCCTGGAGAGACACGTGCCCCGGGTTAAAGGCCCCGTCTGTCCACAGCAGACTGCTCCTCTCCCCTCCCCCCACCAACCTCAGGAGGACCTCTGTCCTATTCTGTACAGTTCCCTCCTCAACTGCCCCACACTGGGCTTGGGTCACTGAGCCTCTGAGGCTGTCCCTGCCTCCACTACCCTTCAGGTACCCACTTAACTGGCCCTCAGGAGACCTCACCACTGGATGCTTTCTCGGGTGAGGCCTGGTGTGTCACCTGCCTCAAAGCCACTGGGAAGTGGTAAAACAACACTCAGCAGAGAGCCCAGGACAGGCTCAGGCTGGGAGCAGCAGTGGGGGGAATAGGGTCCTTGAAACCCAGAGGCACCCTCGGTCTAATAGGAATCTCATTGAGGCTGAGGAATCTCAGTGAGGGGCCCTAGGGCCACTTGTGTCCCCTAGAAGCCCAAGCCTGGAGCCACTGTGAGAGCTCTGGGTGTGAGACTTGGGTGAGGGCCAGGCCCTGGGGTCAGTTGTCTAGCCCTGAGTTTGATTTCTAGCACCATCATTTACTCACTGAGTGATGTGGACAAGTCACTAATCCTCTCCGGGCCTCAGTTTCCTCATCTACAAAATGGGGACAGCAGTTGTACCTATGCCTCATAAGCGCTGGGAGTCGAGAGCAGGCATGCAGAGCCCACTGGCCGCACCCGGACCACCGTCTCACCGTAGAGCTGCTGGATGCCCCGCAGGTCGTCCTCAGGCAGCTGGAAGTTGTCGGTGTCCATCCACTGGTAGAACGGCGCCATGATGGCGCTGGGGTTGTTCGAGTGCTCCAGCCCCAGTGCGTGGCCCAGTTCGTGCACTGCTACCAGGAAGAGGTTGTTCCCTGCAGAGGGGGCCAACAGCATGGTCAGCTCTGGCCTGGCACAGGACCTGGCCACCCCAGACTGTAGGCTGAGGCTGCAGAGGGCCTGCCCTTCTTCACTCTTAGAAGAGGCTGAGCTGCTCTGACTTCTGGACCTTTAGCTTCCCCATCTGAGAAATGGGTCCAATGACCCCTTCCCTTCCCTACCACCCCTTGACAACAGCCTGAGACCAAGTATCGGCGCTCAGAGAACCTCACAGGGGACGCTCTCCCCTCCCAGCCCCGCAGCTCCTGCTCTGCCCGCCTGCCCTCGCACTGGCCAGCTGATCTCACCATCTAGGTCAGTGCTGGAGAAGGTCCAGGGCTCATCTGCGTCGAAATGGGTGTCCCCGCCCAGACCTGGGCCAGGGAAATAGGCGTGGGCCAGGAAGCCGCCCGTGCCATCAAAGGGTGAGCTGTCGCCATGGAAACCAGAGGCAAAGAGTACCATGATGTCTGCCTCCTTCTGCCGTCGCAGCCTGATGTCCTCGTAGGGTACCTCCTGGAAGACCAGGGGCGTGGCCTGCTCCCACACGCGGAAGGCCCTGCGAACCGCCTCCAGCGAGTGGTACCAGCCCAGCTTCTCTGTGTAGTTCTGGATGCTGCAGGGGGGTGGGGAGACATGGGAGTGAAACCCAGGGCCTGGGGCTACTGCCCACTGCTGGCACCCACCGGGCTGGAGGCTGAGACACATGGTGCCAAGGAACGCGCATAAGGTCTGAGCTGGCTAACGGACAACGCTCGACACCAACCTTTAGTTCACTTGGATGTGAATGTGAAAAAGAAATGACATATCAAACCCGTGAGTTCATTAGGATATCCCCAAATAAGGTTGCATTGTGCCAAATCAGCTGGTTTTAAGAAAACATTAAGTAAATAAAAGAGAGGTGATATGTAGCCGAGAGAAAGACCTACACAGCAGGTGCAAATGGCTGAGGTTTGGGGAACACAGGCCATTCAGTGGTTCTGAATGTTGGGCTCCAGGGTCAGGCAGACCTGAGTTCAAGGCCGGGCTCTAACATTATCTGTGCAACCTTGGGCAAGTGAATTAGTCTCTCTGAATTTGAGTTTCTTCATCTGTAAAATGGGAAAAGGAGGGTAGTGCTTTCATCATAGGGTCCCTGTGAAGATTAAATGAATTAACTCATGTAGAACACGTGCTAACGAAGCCTGCATGTGATAAAGTGTGAGGAGGCCTGTTACTACCCGTGTAAATCAGATTAAGCGTCTGTGTGCTGGACAGACCTCCAGTAAAGCTGGTTGGACCATGAATTCCCTCTGGGGGTCTGGGGTCTAAGAAGAGGCCGTGGGAGCTACTCTTCCTCAAGAGATGGGGCTCCCCGGTGGGGCCCTGGCTGGACTGGGACAGGAAGAGGAGCCCTTAGGGACCACCTCATGCTGGAGGCTCAGAGGAGTTTCTTGCCCAAAGATTCAGCAGAAAGGAGGAGGGTGCCTAAACCAGGGTTTTTGCAGGTGACTTGCTGCCTGCCCACCTGAGAGATGCTGGGAGTTAGGCCGCCCTGCCCTCCTCAACCCTTCAGGTGCCTGAAGCCCCGTGCCCTGCCCTGTGGAGGCCCCTTGTTCATACTTGTGCAGGAGTCCTTCTGGGCCAGTGAAGCCAGTCCGGACCGCTGGTGGGCGGGGGGAGGGTGGGAAGGAGGCGAGAGCGGAAGCAGCTCCAAGGGTCCTGACCTTCTCTGGAGGGAGACTGCCTAGGGTGTGTGGCCCTTGTCAGTGTGGGAGTGGGAGCAGGAACCGGGTTCAGACTGCCTATGCCGGGCACCCTGGTGGGGTGTCTGCTGGGAAAGGAAATCTTCCAGACAAGCCCACTGGAAAGCCTGAGGCCTCAGCCAGGTGCCCTGGGAGGGATGCCACCCTGGGCAGCTGGGGTCCCTACCTGAAGGTCAGGTGGGGGTTGTTCCACTTCCTGCCGGTGAGGGCATAACGTTTCCGCCGCCGCAGATTGGCTTTCACACGGACCCCGAACTGGTCTGGCACCCCACAGCGAGGCCGTTTCATCCACCTAGGGCATAGGCATGGAGGGGTGAGCCCAGAGCTTCCTTGAGGCAATCCACCTTCTTCCACCCTCCTGCCTCTGACCTTCAGCTGGCTCTTATATGGGGTGGGTGGGGGGCGGGGTGGGGGAGACTAGCTAAGCTTCAATTTCCTCATCAGGAAAATGGGCACAGTGATCTTGGACTAGAAGAATGGGTGCCCAGCAGTGGCTCCAAAAAGGTGAGCCCCTTCTCACCAGTGTCACCCAGGAAGGGGACAATTTCTCCTGAGGCCTCCTGTCCTTGCTCATCAAGAATGTGGCTTTGGGTCAGATTCAGAGCAAGGTCTAGCTAGGCTGTCCCATCCAGGGCATGTGCGCTGTCTGCCTAGTCCCACGTCTGTGGCAGACATTACTAATCACTTCTATGCTCCTTGTAGCCAAGCCAGGATTTGGCCTCAGGAGCTTTCTCAACACAAGGCTTTAGGCAACCACTCCTGATCAGAGATAGCATGGAGGACCAAACCATTTGCCATCTCTTATCTGGGCCACTCTTTTCTGGAGACCCCACGTGCCAAGGACTCGTCAGAGCAGGTCAGAAGGAAGGCAGGTGCCAGTGGGGTCTGGGAATGGCCTAGCAGAGAGACTCACGCCTTGGTCTCTTCGTCGAGCACGCCGGTGACAGGGATCCCGTAGAAGCGCTGCATCTCCGCGAGGGCCGAGGCCAGGATCTGGGCGGAGCGCATGGTGGACATGTAGCGACTGGGTTGGGGCAAGTAGCCATAGAGCCGCAGCCAGTTCTGCAAATGAGAGGCCACGACCGAGTCAGCAGGTCCTGGCACGGCTGACGCCCAGCACGTACAGCCTGCGTCTGACCACGGCCTACCACCGCTACCATCATCACCACCACCTCCCTGCTTCGACCTCCTGTTGTCTGTTCTCACACAAGAGCCAGAGCAAAAGGCCTTCACAAGTCAGGTCTGGTCTCCAAAGACTTATCTCAGAGGAAAAGCCAAGTTTTCAGGAGCTACCAGGCCCTCACTACCAGACCCCGGTCTGAGCTCTCAGATCTCAGGCCTCCCATCCACCCAGCCAGGCACTCTCCTGCCTCAAGCCCTTTGCACATGCTCTTCCTGAGTGCTCTCTCCCAGACATCTGCATGGCTCACACCCCCACTTTTTTCAGGTCTCTACTTCAACCTCACCTTACTGGAGGGGTGTCCTCTGACAACACTATGTAAAAAAGACCCCGACACGCCATACCCTGCATCCCCTCTCCTCCTTCCCTGCACTGTCACCATCTGACACACCATATATTTATTTCACTTAGGTGTTCATCCTTTGTCTCCCCCATTAGGATGAAGGAGGAGGGGATCCCCAATGAACCACAATGAGTTCTAATAAGAAAGGAAACTCCATCCTGCCCGCTTCATGTCCCCAAGGCCATGAGAACATGATGGCCACTGTGAGAGGCTGGTGGCACAGAGGCCAGGGACTGCTGTGGGCCTTGGCCACATGGAAGTGTGTCCTTTGCATCTTTCCTGGCCCACCCTGGGTCTCTGGGGGCCCCCAGATTGAGGGGACCTGAAGGCCTGCTCTCTGAGAGGCCCTGGGAGGTGAGGGCTGCACCTCAAGGACCCACAAGCAGGATGGTGGCTGGACATAGTGGTTGTTGCTCTGGGCTGACAGCCATGTGTCAGCTGGCTAGGGCCACACCCATATCTGTCTGCCACCAGTGTCACAGCCAATTCCTCAGGTACTTGCTCTCTCAGTGCCACCTGTCAGGCCAGCCCTGGCACCCAGCCAGGTCCCCAGTGTGGAGGGGCTGTCACATCCCCTGGCTCAGCAGCACCCAGACTGCTGTTGGAGGGAGCGGCTGCTGAGCCAAAGAGGAACTGCCAGAGAAACTGCCAGAGCCTTGAGGCATCTCAGGGCCATGGGTCGTAGCCACAGAACCAGGAGGCAGAGATACAGAGCTGAGAAACAGCCCTGGCTCTGGTGACAGACAGGGGTGGGGACATATCCCAGCCCATCTTCTGAGGCACGGCGCTGTGCCTCCCTGTGCCTCAGTCCGTCAGCAGTGAAAGGGGGTTATACTAGGACCTGCCTCATCTCATGGGTTTCTGTGAGGACTAAATGAGGATGTCCGCGCTAGTGCTTGGTGTTGTGCTGGGCATGGGAAAGTGCTCAATAAATGTACCATTAATGACAGAGGCAGAGGGACCATCCGGTTGTCCCTGGAGCAGTAGCTTTTTGCCTCTACCAACAGGGTTGAAGGTTCTAGGCTCCAACAGGGCCTGAGCACCGTGCAGTTAGGGCAGCTGGGGGAGGCACGGGGAGCCTGTGGCCTTCCCTGACAGGCCCCCCCATCCCTGCGGCCCAGGGCTCCTTCCCTCGGTTCCACCAGACACTGGCACTGTCATGGGCACCCTCCCTGTTCTTAGCGTCTTTCCTGAAGCGTCTGTGTATATGTAAGGGGAGAAGCCCGTCATCCTTAACGGATATGGTTTTCCTGAAGAAGCTTGGAGAGATCTAGACGGCGAGGCCATGATGCTCAGCGGTGAAAAGGATCCAGCCGGAGGTGGGGGGAGAGGTGGGGCTGCCTGCTGGCAGATGAGGGCACCTCTACATCACCTATTTGCATAAGGTAAAAATATCTCAGGGAGCGCAATCACAGGCCACCAAGGGGCTGATTAGCAGTGTCTGCAGAGTGACAGGAGGCGCGCAGGGAGGGGGAGGCTCAGGCTGGGGCCCCGGGGAGGGGCGGGAGGGAGCTTGGCCTGTCTGCAAGGGAAGCTCGGGAACTCAGGGGCGGGCAGTTTAGGGGCTGATGGGAAGGTCTCCAGGGTGCCTACGGACCCTCCTTCACACGGATGAGCACCCTGTGAGTCTCCGGGAAGTCAAGAGCTTCCGTTTCAGTATCAGCCAAGCCTTGACCCTTCAGCCTCCCGGTGACAAACGCCTCGTGGCCACTGCCACAGTGAGAAGCCGAAGCTGGGGACCAGCGGTATAGGTGGAATAAGCAGAAAAAGCTTTGGCCCAGAGCAGCCGAACCAACAGATGACACGGCGAAGACGCTGACAAAGCCTGCCTGACTGCCAACATGCGCTCGGGGCTGACCACCAAGTGCCAATCAGTCTATGCCACCAGGATAGGGCTGTGGGCTTTTCTTTTCCTCAGCGTCCAGGAGGAAGTTTCTAGCACCCTACTGCTGTGCTAAGTGTGACAAGGCCAGGAAGTGAGGACAAGGAAGTGAGGAAAAGACAGCACGGGACAGGGGTGCACAGCAGGGGTTGCTGCCTCCAGGTGAGAGGGGGCTGCTTGTACCCTAAGCCTCAGCTTCCGGAGGTACTCTGTTGCCATGGGAAAAAAGTGGAGAGTGATTTCCAAGGTCATGACTGACCTCTTGGTCTCACAGTAGGGGAGGGGCTGTGTTCAAGATCTTGCTGCCCCTCCTGGTGACTGTACCTTATACAAGGTGCCTCCTTTTCCTCCCTATCACCTAGTCTCACAGGTAGAGTGAGCCAAGCAGGTGAAGCTTTGTTTCCCAGGTGGAGAAACTGAGGCTTGGGAGGTCAGTAAGCAGCAGAATAAAGGGCCTCCTCCTCACTGTCCTATAGGAGGCCAGGAAGGTTCTGAGGAGAGCTCTGGAGCCATGAGGGCCCTTCTTAGCTGCAGCCCACCCTGGTCCTTTCAGCCATTTCTTTCTTGAGCTCCAGACCCCATCCCAGAAGTATCGATATATGCTTGAGGCGAGTGGCTGGCCCCAGGCAAGTAGGCATGGGGCCATGGGGAGTCTGAGAGGGGATTCCTGGCCTCCTGCCCCTAGGAGATGCCACAGATGCGGCAGCCAAGGGCTGAGAACTGCCGTGGGCCAGGCCATCCACTCGTCACCCCATTAAATGCTGCCAAGTACCCCCATACTCATTATACAGACAACAAGGTTCAGAGAAGGTAGGTGGCCCACCCAAGATCACACAGCTGAGCTGGCTAGAACTAGTGCCCATATACAGTACTATTGGACCAAGCTGTTTGTGAAGTTGCATCAGTTCCTCTTGGCCTGAGGCTGGGGACACTGGGCTCTGGCCCTTCTCAGGAACAGTGCCCAGCACAGCACTGGAGGAGGGTGTCTAATCCTCCCCACACTCACATCTCTGGGCGTCGGGCCACATCAGCAGGTCTGCCCCCCAGGACTGCTGAGACAATGCCAGCGCAGGCCCGCAGGGAGGGTGTGTCTGAGAAGGAGCTTCCAGATCAATACGGTGCATTAAGCAGCCGTGGGGGCAGGGGGCGGGTGCTGCTGCCGCCACCACAAGCCAGCTCCTCCAGCCAGCTCCTCCAGGGCTCAGACCAGTGGAGCCCCGCCTACCCAGCCTTATCAGACCTCGTGAGCTAAGGACAATCTCTGCTGGGTTCTGCTCTGCTTGTCACCCACGGCTCTCTGTGTAGTCCAAGCAGACCCTGGCAGGGTTGCCCAGACAGACACAAGGGCATCTTGTCAGTCTCGCCGGCGATAGACAGACCTTTCAGGGTGCTGTGAGGTCATCACCGCGCCCATCTCCCCACTGGTATCACGGTCTGAGGGCTACTGGGAGCAGGCCAAGGCCATGCTGGGCATGGGGTTGGTGCTGAATGGGATGATGAGCCTGGAATAGGCAGGGCATGGGTCCCAGGTCTGCTGGGCCCACTTCTGTTCAGGGGTTCTGAGCCAGGAGCCCATTCACCAGCTAGGTGATCCCGAGCAGGCCTAGACTCCTCCAGTCTCAGGCTGGAACGGACCGCAAGGCCATCAAGGCCAGCTACCCCAAGGAAGCCTCTATGGACCACAACTGGGCCAGGGACCCATCCAACCTGCACCCCTGCAGAGACTGGGCACTCACTGCCACCAAAGTAGCCCATTCTGTCCTTGGGTAGCCATGGCTGTTAGGTCTTCCTCAGGCTGAGCAGAAATCTGCCTCCCAGGGCCATCTGCCCCTTGGTCCTGACTGCTTGTCCACAGAACAGACCTTTGAGTAATGGAAGAGGACTAAGACAGCTTTTCTGAGCCTCTGATCCCTTCTCTGCAAAATGGGGTCAAAACTTTCACTTCCCATCTGCCTCACAGGGGTGAGAGCACAGATGACATAACCAGCCCCAAGACTAGTGAAGAAAGGGGGCATCCTTGGTGGATCGCTTACTACCTTTAGAGGCAGCACTCATCTCACTCTAGAAGAACTGCCCTTCACAATGGGAAAGTTGCAGGTGGAGTGAGGGGCTCTGGGTGGTAGGGAGAGCGGGCGGGGTGGCGGATGTGCAGCCAAGGAAGCAGGAAGGAGGCGGACACCCTGAGTTTCTGTCACTTCTTTACCCTGTGGCCTCCCAGCCTGCCCTGCACTGGAGGAAGAAACAGACAGGTCCTTTTGCCAGTGGGCAGGCAGGGACTGGGTGAAAAAAGCCCTGTTTGCCAGTGGTTTCAGGTTGGCTGGGGGCCAGGCCTGGGGCCTCACCTGGAAAGCCCCTGTAGGTGTTGTCTCCCACATGCGGCAGTCCATAGGCCAGAACCTGGGTGGCTGGACAGGTTGGGGGGAAGGCTCCAGGCTTACCCAGCCCCACTTCCGCCACCTCCTTCCCACTTGGCTCAGGCTCAGCAGGTGCCTGCCTGGTGGCACTGCCACAGGATGGCACCGTGGGCTCTGACCTGCAACCTTTAACCCAGTATGGGGGGCTGGGAGCTCAGCCTCCAAGCCAGACCGACTGGGTTCAAATCCCATCTCTGCCACCCCCTGGATGGGGAATTTGGCGTAATTTCTCTCACCTCATATGGGGTAATGACAGCACCTGCACTTAGAGTCAGTACCAGGATTAAATGTGAACATGCTTACAAAACAGCCCGAGCCTGTGCCCAGGATAGAACCAAATATGTTGACGATGCTCAAAAATAGCACCTGACCCTATTGGGCCACGTGAGGGCCACTGCAAGGCATTGAGCATTTTACACATAAACACACCTATGACTCCATCCAGTAGACACGATTACTATTCTCACTTTGTAGGCAGGGAAACAGGCTCAGATGCATTCGATGACTTGCCCAACAGCAAACGCCATTCATCTGCTTCTCACTGTTACTGTTTTGCCACCATCTTGCAAGTGCTTCCTATATACCAGGCGCCGTGCTCACAAAAGCTGGACCTGAAACTGGGCTCTCATCCCCCCAGGGTGACAGTCACTCCTGGGAGAAGGACAGCATGGTGCTCAGGGCTAAGGGCCAGCCTGGAGAGCTGATCTAGAGCCTGGCCTCTGAGCGCCACAGCTCCGGCAGCTCAACCAGCAGATGGCAGTGGGATGTAGGGCATCTCCAAGGGCTGGCGGATGGCTGGGACCCAGGTCCTCATCTGTCTGTCCAGATACTGGAGGTTGATTGGGTCTTCTTGCTCATTTCCTGCTGTTCCCACGCAGGGAATGGGCTCTGGCACAAGGCACCCCTCTTTGTCTCTCTCTCTCTGATCCAGGCCCAGCTCACACACCACTGCTGTTCTTGCCCAGGGCTGCAGACTCTGTGCTTCCTCCCTCAAAGGGCCCAGGCATCCCTGGAACCAGTGCTCTTCTGGGGAGTGGCCTCATATGAGCCCTAACTCAGGGGGCTTTTCCGGCCAGAGTGCGCCCATTGGGTGAGGAAGGCCTGCGTGTCCGGCCACCTTCAGGGTCCCGCGTCCTCACATTCATCTGTGGAGTCCTCTCAGGCCCTCTTTGTGGCTCAGAAGGATCCAAGCACAGAGCCCCTGATCCCTCTCTGCTTCTGCTGACTCAGAAAACACAGCTCCACACCTGAGGCAGGGCTGGCCATGGGGCTCGGTCCCTGCCTGAGTGGCTGGTCATGTGAGCCGCGTAAAACTTGGGACAATATTGAAGATGCCAAATCTCTTCGTCCATTTGGGCTGCTATAACAAAAATACCATAAGCTGGGTAGCTTACAACAACACACATTTGTTTCTCACAGTTCTAGAAGCTGGAAGTCCAAGATCAGGGTGCCAGCACAGTCAGGTTCTGGTGAGGGCCCCCCTCCTGGTGGCAAACTGTGCCGACTGCTCACTGTGTCCTCACATGGTGGAAGGGGCAAGGGAGCTTTCTCCAGCAGCTTTTCTAAGAGAGTTAATCTCCTTCAGGAGGGCTCTGTACTCATTACCTAACCACTTCCCAAAGGCCCCGCCTCCTAATATTATCACCACCTTGGGAGTTGGGTTTCAACATATGAATGTTGGGGGAATACAAACATTCTGTCTACAGCAATAACTCTAATCTGAGCTAGGGACCAGGGGCGCCTCACAGTGATCATCGCAGCTGGACTCAGGCAGAAATCAAACTCCCAGCTGGGCAGAGGTGATGATGGCAGGGAACATCTGGATTAGCAACAAAAGGGGCAGGAAGGGGCTGGCCAGAACCAAGCACCTGGCAGCGTTGCTCTTTTGAGTTGGCATCAGAGAACATGGGCAGTGGGCCCTGGGGTTCAGAGGGAGACTTCCATGTGGGGGGATCTGGGTGTGTTACTGTGTTGTTTCCTCTCCACCCTCCTTGGGGTGGGGCAAAGGAAGGTGTTTGTGTCCAAAGGTCATAGTGGGCAGGTGGGACCGATGCATTATTCAGACCAGGAGCACACCCTGGGCTGTTCTCCACAAGGAGGCGGCCGACTGACGGGACCCCAGGGCAGCCCAAACACAGGGACCTGGCAAAGGGCTGGGCATGAGGGCCACGGCCCAGTCGGATCCTGGGTTCCTGGCTGTGTCAATCAGCCCAGTTCTCTGGGGGCTTTGAGATAGACAATGAAGGGGTGGTTTGTAAGTAGTAAGAGGACAACAGACTAAACAGCAGGGATGGGTAGAGGGAGGGAAGACTGGGCTTCTGTAGGTTCCCAATGACAAGGCTCTCATGTTTTCCTCAAGGGGGAGGAACGGGGCATCTGTAGTTTCTCTCCTTATTTAAGAAAGACTATTACTAAGAAGGCAGGTATGGGGCCTCCAGGGGCCACCACGGAAGTGCCAGCAGAGACTGGAGCCCAGGAAGCCTGGGGCTATGGCTCACCAGTCATATTTGAAGGTGAAAATCAGAATTCAAGCTGATCCCCACCCCTCCTTTTGCTTATCCTGCTCAGCTGCTAGGCAGGGGCCGCGAAGGTGTGGGAGTCTATTCAGGGACGGTGAGTGTGTCCATGTTTGAGTGGCAGTTGCACCACACCTGTGAACTCTGCAAGCCTGAGTCACCTGTATGGGGCCGGCTGAGGGCCTGAGGTTATGTCTGGGGAGGAGTGTGTGGTGGGAAGAGACCACAGCTTCTCTGATGAAAACCAAAGGCACTTAAGCAGGCTAGGTGCTACAGCCAGCAAGACAGGACAGAGATCTGAAGGGGGTCCTGGACTCTCAGGCCAGGGAGGCCAGGAGCTACAGCCGGCACCCCAGTCAGCTGAGGCCTTCATCTATGCAGGGGAACGCAGCTCTAGCCCAGAACAGCTGGAGACCGGGACCTGACACCCAAGGCAGGGAGTAGGACAGGGCAGAGGAGCTCAGCAGTGGCTTCCCCAATGAAGACACCCTTTTTCCAGGCTGGGGCTTGGAAAGTTGTAGGTGCCTGCTGGCTCCTAGCACATGCCAGACTCCCCGATTCCTTAGTCTAGTGAAACTCCTGTGGTTTGTGCCCTGGGAGGGAGAGAGGCTGGCCTTGGCTTAGTTACCAAGATGCTCAGAGACGGTCCCAGCCATGACCTGACCTGAAGTTTGGAGCTGTGGGGATTCTGGGAGGCTCTGGACACAGGGTGTGGGCCAGGCCCAGGAGTCTCTGAGGCTTGTCCATGGAGAGTGTGGACCTGAGGACAGCTGTCTCACAGCCTCCTGCACATGTGCTGCTTCTGAAGCCACTCAACTCTTTGGGCCCAGATCTTGCTAGACATAATGGAACTCCAAGGAATGGCCTGTACCCCAAAGCCAATTTTAGGAGCTGGGACCAATTACCCGTCGCTAGCCCTTTATCTACCTTGGCTCCCAACATTCAGGGGATCCAATAACCTTTCAGAGTCTCTTCCAGCAACAGCCAAACCCAAATTTCCCCCCCGGAAAGAGACTGCAGGTCACGCACAGCATCTCTAACCAGTGCCCGCAAAGGCTTAGGGCCATGGTCTGTAGCCCCAGTGCAGGCCCTGGGCTATGGGTACTCTTTCAGTTGGGATAAGAGGGGGTGATGGCAGAGCAGAAGCAAAGAAAAGAGAAAATGAAGACCCTCAGACCACAGGTCCCAGTGCCCCAGCTCCTGGCCATCTAGGATGCCAATTCATAATGCACAGCCACCAAATTCCAGTGTGGTCCGTAATTACTTCCTGGTGGAGATGCCATTCCTGAGTGGATTATAAACTGCTCAAGGCTGGATCTGTGACTTGCAATTCTTCCGTATTCCACTCTGGAGAGTAGAAGGTGGGCTGGCCCACACATTTTTCACCTAGTGCCTGGATCACGGGCTGAAGGGCAATCCCCACCAGCAGGAGTCCCCTGCTTGCCTGTCAGTCTGAATGAGGGGGAGGCAGCTGGACTGAGCATGGGCCGGGCAACCACCCCACCTCCTGCCAGGAGCTGGCTCCTTGCAGCTCTTCTTGGCCTGGCCGTGGAGGGAGGGCAGAGCAGGTGGGGAACTGGCTAAGAGGTGTAACTTGAGCCGGGAGGAATTCCCTGCCCTTCCTCCAAGCTTTTATTAAAGTAGGGCGGGGAAGGGCAGCCTTCCATTGGAAAAATCTCCCAGGCAGTAGGGGGAGGTGGGGAACCCGCGGGGGGCTGGGAGGGAGCACCGGCCCGACTGCAAATAGAAACGGCTCTCAGGCCCAAGGACACGAAGGCCTGAGCCTACCCTGCGAGCGCAGAGGCGGGTCTCCCCGCTAACCCCCAACCCACTCTCCTCTCTCAGTCTGGGGCATGGAGCGGGGTTTTTGAAGTCGGTTAAGAGTGGACCCCGCTTTTGCTCCGTGGCAACGGAGCTGGTGCCCTCTCTGTCCCTGCTCGGGAAGACGGCGCTGGGCTACCCCATGAAGCTGGGGGCGCTGGCTGGACCCAGTTCTGCGCCAGGAGGCCGCCCCTGATCACCCGCGGGACGAATCTAGAGAGGCGGCCCCGTAGAGACGTCAGGCAGGCTCCGGGTTAAAAGATGTGCGGAGTCTGCCTTCTGAGCTCCGGGCCTCAGCGTAGGGGACTCTGGTGGGAGGAAGCGCCGGGGAGACTGGGTCTCTCTCTTAGATCCCACCTGGCCATGGTGCGGCTTCCGTGCAAGAGCCCAAGAAAGTCGCCAAAGCGCCCCTGCGACCCGAGTCTGCTGCCTCGGAGGTTCGCACCCCTTCCCCCCATCCCGGCCCGCCGCGCGCTGCTCAGTGTCACCCAGACCAGAGGCTACCTAGGCAGGAGCACCGCCTGCTCGGCCCGTGGTACCCCCAGGTTTGCCCACTGCCCACTCGGAAAGAACGTCACCGCGCCCGCAGGGCTCTCGAGGAATCAGCCTCCCCGGAGAGAGGGAAGGAGGAGAGCAAGGGCTGGGGGCGGCAGAAGCGGTTCCCAAACGCCGGCTGGGGCGGATCAGTGCCCAGGACAGGGCTGGAGAGGTAGAGTGCGCGCGAGCCCTGCGCCCTCCAGGGTTTGGGAAGAGGTGCGCTGCAGAGAGCAGGCTGGGGAGGGGCAGCTTGCCTGGCCCCTTTCTTCCGACCCCCTCCCCTGGGATAGGTGGCTCGTCTCCGCGCCCAGTACCTCCTGGCCTCAAGCTGCGGGCGTGGCTCCTTCTATAGCCCCCCACCCCCGCCCCCGCCAAGTCCCCCAACCCAAGGCAAAGGGACAGGGCGGGGGTCCTTACCTCGGCATTGACTTCTGCGTCCTCCGCCGCTGCGTCGCGGCCCAAGCAGCCCAGAAGCACCAGTAGCAGCGGCAGCAGTCGTGGTCGTGCCGCCTCCTCCCGGCCACCAAGTAAGCTGCCCGCCCAGGCCCGCCGTCCGGGCGCGCTCCGGTCGCTGCCCATGCTCTCGGCGCCCGGCCCGGCCCCGAGCGCTGCACGCGGGGCTCGCCCACTCGTCGGCGTCCGGTGCCCACACGCGGCTCGGAAACTTGCGACGCTCCCTGGCTCCCCGCCCGGCGGGCGCGCGGCAGACATCCCGGTCCCGGTCCCCGCCGGAGCCGCTTAGGTACCTTCGGCAAATTCCCACGCTCGAGAAGAAGCGGGCAGGGCAGGTCCGGGCACACGGAGCCGGCCCACTTGGGAGAGGGCAGCCGCCGGGTCCCGCAGCCTGGGCACCCGGGGCCCGGTTCCCGAGAGCAAGCGCAACTCCTGAGCCTTTGTTTGGCTCAGCGCTCCGGCCGCCCGGTCCCGCGGCGCCCCCTGCGCGCCCAGCTCCCTCTGTCCATGCCCAGGGCCGGGCGCTACCCAGAGCGCGCGCCTCCCGCCCGAGGGCTCTGCTCGCCCCGCGCCCCACCGGGCCCGGGTCTCCGCGCAGTCCTGGGAGGAGGCGCAGGGAGCCGGTCGGAGCGAGCGAGAGAGCGAGCCAGGGAACCGGCGCCCGACGTCCCCGGCGAGTTCGGCGCAGCTCCGGGCGCTCCCAGCCCTCCTCCCCGCGCCGCTACTGCCGCCGCTCTTAAAGGGCCAGTGCTCTCTCCGCGCGCGGCCCCGGGAGGGGGCCGGGGGCGGTACCTTAGCCAGCGGCTTCTCCGTAGCAGGTGCGGGCGGTGGAACCGGGTAGGCAGCCTTTTTACCCTTTCCAGACAGCGGCAATCCTTCCCAGCGCACTGCCTCCGTCATTTCCCAGCCTTGCTTTTGGAGAGCGGGGGTTGATCCCCAAAGCGACGCCCCCACGGAGGGAGTAAGGAGGAATGAAGACTCTTCCTTCTCCCGCCTGGTGGGGGTTGGTGGGGATACTGAGGCAGCAGTGGGCAGGAAGGAGGACTGGGTGAGGAAGGACCCAAATGTCCTGTTTCAGGCTTAAACACACAAACAAAATAGACAAAAATCTAGAGACTTGTTATTTTCTCAAAAGTCTCAGGTGTCTTTGGCCGTTCGGTGATTTTCTTCCATTGCATAGTGAGGGTTTCATACCT